ACCCAAGGAAGTGTCCAAGCGGCCTTAAGTAATGTGAAGGGTTTGTGTGTTTTTGGTTTTTGTTAATCCTTAGAGTTTTAACATTTGCAGCCTGGTTAGCAAAACTTTTCTCGCTGCTACTTTGGGAAGGTGTGTGTGTGTGTGTGTGATTATTTGGAGTGAGAGTGCTTTTTCCTGCAGGGTGTAATTTTTATAAGCATTGGGGGTGTTTGTGTTTTGCAGACAACACCCCAGGCTTTCTGGAAGAGGGCTTGTGTTTAAAATAAAATATAAATGTAAAAACAAGCCTTAAAAGGTCAAAAAGTGGTTTGTTTCCTGGACTGGCTCTTTTGACAATCACGGCCGGCCTTTGGGGAAGTGGGGAGTCTCTTGCTCCCACAGAGTCACGGCTATTTAAAAAGAAAGAAAGAAGAACAAACAAACAAAGGGAGAAGAAACAAAACAAAAACCTTTGGGATTTGTGTGTGTGTTTGTGTGTGTGGTAATTTTTTAAAAAAATTTTTAAAATTTTTTGCTCTGGATGCTGAAGAAGGCAGAGCAAGGAAAGTAGAGGGGGAGATGCCGGAAAACCGGAGGCCGGGGAGACCAGCCCTATTCATCCCTCTCAGTGCAGGCATGCCTAAAGAGGACTTGCTCTTTCATGTCTCTAATGCCCAAGAGAGCCCAAACTCTCACTGCGAGGTCTGGTGGGGAAAGATGCTAACCATCCGCTTGGGTTTCTGGCGACCAGGCGGGCTGTTCCCGGCCAAGACAGTTGAAGAAAGTGAAAGATGGGGAAGGAGGGAGGGGGAATGGCATAGGAACAAAACTGATAAAACGTTTACATTTCTATCACCCCCCATCCTGCAGCTGCAGCTAGCAGCTTGGGCCAGGCATTTTTATGAGCTTTTTCTCCAGAATAGCCCAATGGAGCAAAAAATGCTACTCAAGAACACACGGGGTGGTGGTGGTGGTGGTGGTCAGGCCACTGGTAGGTCTCTTGGGCTGTGGGTGTAGTTGGGGCAGCAGGGCCAAAATGGGGATAGTGTTTCGGGAGAGGTGTGCAAAAAGGATCAGGAAGGATGTGGGTAAAAGCAGAGAAGCTGTCCTGAAACAGAGCACATTTCTTATAAACAGCATCCTTTCTTAGCCTGCATGTACACTGAAGGGGATTATTAGGAAGCACCCATAGACAAGTTCTTGCCTGCAGGGCAGTGGCCATTTACACAAACAACAGACCACCTGCGGGGGCTTCGGCAACTAGTTCAACCCTGTCTGCGATCTCCCTGGTTTGTCCAATGCAGGCAGGTGAATAATATGGGCCTCTGTTAAATCCAAAGGCTATGCGGGAGTCCTTCTTCCAAAGAGACCATTCCCTGTCCCCCCCAACTCAAAAAGGGCTCCCATAGTGGAGGACTCCATGGTGGAGACGGAAGGAAAGTAAAGTTTTCAGGCAAAACTGTATACAAAGGCTATTTCTACCATATAAGCAAGGATAAGAAGATAATTTGGGCTGACAGCTGTCTGTTAGGAAGGAAATCTCTTAAAAGAGAGACTGAGGGTACTCCAGAAAAACTATCTGGGGATGCTACCGAGCCATATGTACTGAGAGCAAGGGGGAGTGTGGAACTGGTGGCCCACCAGATATTTTGGGCTACAATTCCCTTAATTATCTAACACTGATAATCCTAGACAGAGCTGATGGGAATTATAGATCAAAATCCTGTACCTTCATTTATCTTCATTCAGAAGTATGTATATAGTATGTCCACAAAAACAGTAATTGCATATGCATATCTGTATGCACATGATGAAATAGACACATACATACTGTACATGTATCGCCTTTCCTTACCAATGCTTAGCACTAAGGTTGTTGCTCAGAGGAGCCTTGGCTTGTGACTTGTTTTCCATTTGGACAGAAAAGCTGGGAGTACCTGGCTAGTCCCATTTTGGAGAAATCTTGTTCTTGTTGATGATGAAGGGATGGCGTGCCTCTCTATATGTAGTTAACTTTTAAATGAGGACTGAACTCCTGCCTTTGTCTTATTGGATAACAAAATCTAGGAGCTTTCTGCCATCTTGATGGATGTATGTTTGAGAATGGACACATAAGGCTGCATATGTATAAGGATGTTCCTTTCAGGACATATAGGAAACGGACATCCAGGTTATGTGTATAAGAACATCCCTTTCAATGCATGATAGCAGGGCTGGGCCTACCATTAAGCAAAAATGAAGTGATCATCTCAGGCAGCAGAAGCTATGAAGTAAGACTTGGTGGAGAGCTGTTGGATGACAGGGCCAAGTGTGTGCCATGGAGCCTGCCTTGTGCCACGTAGGTTAATCTGCCATACTCAGGTGCAGTGGGGCAAAGCCGCCCACCTGTTATGTACTATCAATGATTTAACTACCATCCTGGTTAGCTTTTGTACCTGCAGTGGTGGATGGGGGTACCATCTTGACCTTTACCTTAGGGACCAAAATATCAGGACCAGCCAAGAACGGTAGCATCCAGGGAGGTTTGACTCTGTACAGAAGGTGTGGAAAGGAATTACCTGCAGTTCACAAAGGGGACATGAATCTGTATGTGATCAGGCCTTCTTGAGCACAGTAATTGCTGCAACCCTACCAAAGTCTTCATGGGGTCATTTACAATCAGCAGTGACACAGAAGGTCAGGATGCGCAGCTATATAATGGCATTCACACGTACACTGGTGCCTCGCTTAGTGATTGCCTCGTTTAATGATGTATTCGCTTAGCGATGAGGTTTTTGGAGCGATCTTGCGCTCCGTTTAGCGATGTTTCCAATGGAGAAATTTTGCATAGTGATGTTCGGGACCTTGCTTCGCTTAGCGATGACAGTTTAGGTCCCCCTGTTTCGCTTAGCAATGTTTTTGACAGCTCTGTTTTCACTATTTTTAAAAGGTGTTAAATTGTTTTAAAAGGGTTTAGAGTGCTTGAAATCGTTAGTGCACTTAATAACCCCTTTGTTAACCAAATTTGGCTTCGTTCTGACTCTTTTTGAATTTTTGGTGATTTTTTTCTCCCCCATTGAAATGCATTGAAAAGGTTTCAATGCATTCCAATGGGGGAACTGCGTTTCACTTAGCGATGTTTCCTATGGCGATTTTTGCTTAAGGACGGTAACCCGTTCCCATTGGAACGGGTTATCCGATTTTCAATGCATCTCTATGGGAAAACGCGTTTCGCTTAGCGATGTTTTCCCATAGCGATGAATTTTTTGGAACCAATTAAAATCGTTAAGCGAGGCACCCCTGTACATCAAAATTGTTATGTTATTCTACTGAAACATCAATTCACACACACAGGAATATTTAACATCAGGGGTGCCAGAATTCTAGGCTGACTAGAAATGGCCCCTTCAGCCCTCTGAGGAGAAGATATGCTTCCATGTGCTGAGGGGCCTCTCTTATCAATAAATCTGCTGGAGATCTGACATTGGTACCGTGGCACTGAGCAGCCAATCTTGGCCCTAGTTGGCCAGCTTGGTGTAAAAGTTGTATATTCGTACATCCACCTCCCCTGCCATTTGAGCTGCCTTACACAGAACATGCATCCAGAGGAAATCTCATGCATGAGAGAAACTAATTCCTGCTTCGGGGCACAGTAGAGCTTGTCTGGTAAATTCTCTGTTCCTTGCCTTCTTTTCTCACTGGCTTCCCTCTCCCAGTCAGATATGTTCAACACAGTCTCTTAGTCCCAACAGGTAAACCTCCTGCTGTCCAGCTCCTCTTGCTCGCACACATCTGCGTGTGCGCACACACACTTTTCCATGTGCATGCCCTTTCTCTACAGATGCTCCTCATTAAGCTTGCTGCTGGTTTAGGTTTGTTGATCCTAAGCCTGCAGCCAGGAAATTAAAGAGGGGAAAGGGAAAAGTTACAGGAATGGTTTGTAGATTCCATGCTATTATGACAAGACAATAATGCATTGTACGTATGGGGAGTGACACAAATGAGACACAAACAGGACGTTATAAGAGAGGTGACAATTTTAGGGGAACATATTGACAGCAGTTTCCCCATATTCCTGGTTCAGTGCTATAGCACAGGAATGGCCAAGTCTCAAGGACCACTTTATTCTCCAGGCAGTGCTCTGGAAACTGGAAGTGCAATCTGACCTCCTCACAGGTGGCCAAACTAGAATACAGTCTCTGTGTAACTATCTGCTGGGGCACTGCATGCAAAGCATAAAAGAAAAATAACATTGAACGTATGGAATAACTCAGTGGATCACACAATTTTTGAAAACAAATTTCCTTTGCTTGCATGTGAAACTCTGGGCAAAATGTGTACCACATGGTTTGAATTTGGTAGGGCTGCCAGGGGCCCAAGAATTGCTTCATGGACCAGAGCTGACATACAGCTGGAAGTACCTTAGAAAAAGGCAAATGTTTTCTCCCTCTCCCCACATCCACTGGCCCTGCCTTCAC